ATATTTTAGCTTTCAAACAGAACCAGGTGCCTATAGCTGAGAAGTGTGACCCACCCATCATCCCTCACAACACTTTGAGACCGTAGCACAACAATCTCCGTGATTTCATCAAATGCATACTTTCTAATACTAGCGATTGGTCACTAAATTGACAGTCTAACTGTGAGTTTATATAATATAGCGAGATTTTAATCTTTAGAACTGCAATGCACTTAAAATACTTCAATTTGATAAAGTCAGCAAATGTCTATCTACCCAATTTCACTTGAAAACTTTGCCTCAGTGTTTAACTTTTCCAGTGCCTGTCAAAACTGCCAATATAGAACCAGGGGGAAAACTAGGTTCCAAGGTTCTCTAGAAATAAACTCCAGCGCAAATCAGCATTAATTTACAAAATCAACAGGCTTAAAATTTAGACTCTGGGAGAAGACACTAGGAACAACAGTGTTTTCAGCCAAGATATATAGAGTTTTCTTCCAGTCCCACTGTTTTCCAAAACCCTTATATAGCACAGGCAGGACTGAAGATGTATCATCATTACTGGACAGGAAGGTACTGAAACAGGGTAATTTAAATAAAGGAAGGTTGATCTAATTGTGGAATGCTGCAGATAGTTAGCTGATGTTGGATAAAATCCCAAAGAGTTATATTTGCTCTTCAGCGTTCATCCGTAAGTCCTATTAACATAAATATGCTACTCAATCTCCCATAGTAAGCAGCTGTGGTAAATGGCTTCTGTAGGCTTAAAAGCCAATAGCAATAAAGTATTATTTTGGTTTCCATCAAAAAAATAACATCAGGCTTGAGATGTGCATACGCATGTTCAGCTCCAGCCCAGTTTCAATGGAATGTTATTCATGTGCATCCAAAGTTATTTTCTGCTTGAAATCTGTGTCACTGAAAATCAGCTATGTATGCTGTTGCCTTCCTGTCATGATTCTTACTGTCTATAAGTCACACAGATTTTCCAGGTAACCCTGGGGCAGCACAAAGTTTTGAAGCTACAGTGATTTCATCTCTCCTTGATGACTTACATTTACTGTTAAGTTAGGAACACAGGACCAGAAAAAAAATGACTTGGACACTTTTCTCTACAAGCCCAGACAATACACAGCAGATATTTCAAAGAGCTGCAAATTGTCCATTCTGTATGACATCACTCACAGGGCCAAACAAACTAACGACCTGTAGCCTTTTTTTTTTTCTCCCTCAAACAAGAAAAAGCTATAACTATAGCAGGCCACATGAAGTGAGCAAGAGAGATCAGGGCACTGCCAGTAACCTAAGTCTGTGCAATAACTTGGAGCATATTACATACTTATGGTCAGAAGGAGAAGGAAAACCAATGCTAATTAGTCTTAAATCCAAGTAGCTACTACAGACTTGCCACATGTGACGCATGCCACTGGGGATTCATTGTCAAAGTTATGTACAGACATATATACAGTAGTAAAAAGAAAATATTTCAAAATAATAGATTATCCAAAACAAAACTCGAGTCTTTGCATCAGCCTTTTTCCATACAAAGTCTTTACAAGTGCCTTCCACAGGATTTAGGCAAAACTAAACTGCCTTTCCCTTTTTTTCTTTTAAGAGAAAAGCAATATGAATTGAGGATTTTAATAAAGCATTTCATGCTACATTTCACAACATCATACTGGAAACATCAATTCAAAATGGCTGGCAGATATAGGATGTAATTTGGATAAAAGATGATAAATTGGAGATAATAGTCTATCATGGTAACTCTCCATATTATGTCAGCTTGCCTTTTGTCCATCTTTATTTATAGTCATCACAGGGACCTCAGATGAAAGCATCACTGCATTAGAAAAGCATCTGGTGAAAAATTAAGAGAAAACTAGGGTGCAGTTTGTAGACTGATGCAGATGGAAGTCGATACAATGCTGATTTTGGCAATGGAAAAAAATCCTGAGGACAAGGAGGTACCACAGCTCTTCAGAGACAATCATGAAGAAAGAAACGCATAGTTAATCCACTAACCTTAAAATCTGGTGTAGAGGTTAAGAATAGATGTATCCACACCTGTCAATATGTCTGCCTCCCAACAGTAAAATGAAAAATGGCATGGCCTGGCAGCAGGAACCCAGACTGGAGAAGCCAGCCCAGCCGCTATTTCCTTCTAAACTTGATAAGTCACCACAAGATCCCAAGAACTGAGCCTGTCAAGATAAGTCTGTGTCTCCAGTGAGCTATGAGTGAGGTTCGTTTATACAATAAAAACGGAGTGCACCGTGGTCAAAACAGAAGCAGACCTGGACTTCAAGCCACAGCTCTATCAGCTGTATGTTTTACTTCGTGCTACACTCATCCAGTGCCCCAGTCCTTCTCCCCCGTTATTCACCTAACTGCATTATGGAGGCAGATTTGGATGTGGATATATAATTTAGTAAGTTTGTGATATGACTGGAGACCTTTGGCACGCTATGAATAACCAGTGTTTCAGTAACTTGTTGAGCTTGATTACCTTGGAGGGTTCGACAGGAAAAATAATGTTTTCCTTAAGACTGAAACAAATGTTACGAAAAACAACACCAACCAGGGACCAAAGTAAAGAAGCTGTTTCTATATTCCTATTGATTAAGCTCACAGAAGGACTTCTGCTTTATTGAAACATAGTACCGATCCCTCGGCACTTCTATGCACTTTGGTCTTTACGTCCAATGAGCCCTTCAGTCTCACGCTAAAGAGCCCGCTGGTCCAAGCTGCTTTTCAGCCATCCACAGAAAACTGCAGTTTTCAGAAGAAATTGTTTCCCTTTCCTCCTCCATCAAGTGATTTTCAAAGCACAGCCAAAATAATCACACCACAAGCATACTTACATGGTGCACAGCCACCTGAAATATGTGGGGCTCACTTCATTTCCAGGCTACATTTGTCATTCACAGTACTTAACTGCAGGCATACAGTAAAATGTTAGGGTAATAAAATGGATTTTCAATAACATTGTTGAAAAGAAGTTAAAACAGAAATTTAAGAAGAGCTTGGTAAATCCTGAAACAGGAAAAAGCTGAGTGTGTCATTTCAGCATCATGGCTTTTCTTCAGTTCTTGATCCTGTCTCTGTTTTGAAAGCAGATCCCTCTCTCCAATTTCTTTATGCTCTTTAAATCAAGGGCCCCATTGGACTAATGTAATCCATATGCCTAGTGCTCCTTACAGGCCACTCATGAGGGTCAGCTAAGCTGAATTACGACCCCCTCACACATACACCCCTACTGCTGGTTACCTTTGTCTTCGAATGTGTCTTTCTGTGACAAAACAAACAGGATGTGACAAAGGTGAAGTTTAAATGGTTTCAAGAAATGTTTTTATAGACAGTTTTGTTAGAAATCAGGAAAATAATATTTTGATATTTGATTAAATATCTTTACAGATCATCAGAAATAAATTGAGTAAATGTAAGTAATACATGTAAGCAAAACATCAGCTGTATATTCAATATCGACTAGACAGAAGCTATTCCTTTTTTCAGAAGACAGACTTCTATATTGGAGAGGAATGGATGAAGAATTTCAAATGAGAATCTCTGTGTTTATAAATTTAGAAAGGTCCTGTACTCTACATCACGCAGGGTAGGATGAGCAGTTGGTTCAGTATTTGTGATGTGGTAAGGAAGCTGCTGGACATGAATTTATAAATTAAAATCTCTCCTCACTGCCCCAGTGAAGAAGTGTAAAATCTATCATATGACAGGAAAATAAACAATTAGCAAAATCTTGCTTGAAAACAATGCTTTTATCCTTAGGAACTGGGATTTGCTATATTTACTGTTTCTCTAGAAGGCAGTAACAGGGCTTGCAATACAGGAAGACAGAGTGGCTGTGACAGCTGGCACAAATCACAGCAGAGGCAGAAGGGTTGCTGTAGGTTTTGTCAGTAGCTGCTGGCAGGCAGAACGGATGGGAGGCAGGAAGCAGTGGCGCAGGATCAGAGGAAGGCCACAGGGAAAAGCTGCTCTTCCGACAACATTAGACAAAGCAGAAATTGGACGGCTGTGCTAAGCAGCAAAGCGAATGCCATCCTGACAGAAGGGAAGCACACATGCTCAAACCAGAACGCGCTACGGTCCTCAAGGTAAAAAATTAGCTACTTTCAGACACAGATAAGGAGGGTTGGGGGTAAAAAGAGAACAATTACATTTCTTTTTGTGTGGCTGTGGGTGACAGCAAGCCTTGTAATAATTCTATCATAAGATGTTAACATCAGACTTTTAGAGCAGATCCAAAACTCAAGTGACTGTTTCTGGCCCAATAAAGGTGTCTCACCTAGTTTTTGTGTGCAATGGGCTGTTAGCTTTCCTGTGGACTTGTCCTCCATTTTATGTCTCACCTTAAGAGAGTAATATATACAGTGTACTGCTGCCTAAGAATTAACAGAGCCAACAGTATAAAAAGAACAAGACGTTGATTCTCCATCATTTCCTAAAACATGAAGAAGTATCTGCACGCAGATATTCATGACTATGTCTATTTGCATTGTGCTATGGCAGTGTGATGCTCTAAAAGACAAAAAAAAAAAAAAGTGTGCCATCAGTGGCTGGAAACTTAATAAAATAACTGACATGGAATTCACTTCCTTTTAGTGTGACTTTTCACACCTACGGGTGAAATAAACTCTTCCGTGCTCTGGCTCCCTTAACAGATGCCCTGTGAGCATTTGAAGCTTGAGATACAAAAAGCCCATGCCTTCAAACTCTATTAGTAGACTAGCCTTAGTAGCTTTTAATCTATAGTTTTGTCTAGTGGGTGCATACCGGCTTCACTACAAAGAGATTTAATTACTCGGTAATTTGACATTGCAACACGCTGACTAGACAGACCAACAAAAAAGGACATGTATGGAACTGCTGAGCAAACTGCAGGTGCGCATTAACTCGGGAATGAGAAGAGCCGAGATGTCCAAGCTAACTTGTTTTAACCGTAACAGTAATATAAATATGGAGTAATACACAGCAAAGTGCTAAAACTTTGTACATACCTGCGTTATAGAAGGTCGAGGGGGCAATGCAGGTGGTGGTGGGGGCAGCCAGCCAGACCTCACAGCTAAACAGCGAGAGAAAAGAAAACACTTTCACTCACTCACGGATATAGCCAGAAATAATTTCCCTGACAATTCCTAATGAAGAGACAGCATTCAGCATTTTAATAAAAGAAATCAAACTTGACCTTATTGAGCCAGCCCTGTTTGAAATAGCTTCCTCCACTGTTTACCATTCTATAAAAAGAGTAGTGGTTGAATTGCTGTAAAAAAATCCACAACACCACGGCAAAAGGCAAAGATAGAAGCCAGTTAGCCACAAAAGTTATAGCTAAAGCAATCTGATTCTAGTAAAAGAACCCCCGAAAGGGGGTCTATTTATCCTTAGGACTTTGTTCTTTGTCATTAGCATTACAGTATTTTTTAAAAGTGATGCCTCAGTATCTAATGTAGACATCAGAGGTCACTGCAGATAAAACACTCTACATGACGGGGGTGTGGTGGGGTACCCTGAAAAGAAAACATCTGCCATGGAATTAGAAAGATGTAACCCTGAATGTACCAACAAGAAATCGGTTTGCATTAGCTTTGTTTTTTATCTTTGACTGTTATTACTCACTGAGGGTATTCTCGGGGGAGGAGGAGAAATCAGGGGAAAAAGACAATCCCTAATGGCCAGTTTAGGCCCCTTCAACATAACACAATCCAGACTTCCAGTTTAAGCCAGCACAAACGTAGCGTAATAACCACATGGGTCCAGCCACTCTATTTCTGAGTTTCCTTAAAATACCTGAAACCCATCACGGGACAAAACTACAGGACAGATGAAGCCCTCCAAAATCAGCTACAAAGAGGAGGATGAGGCTAACACACAGATATCAAAGAGGACTGACGGGAGCCTTTGGTGGGTTGCCCTTCTTGAGGCCCCTGTTGCACTGTGTGCCTGCACTTGCACTGGGAAAGACGCAAGACAGTCCCATCTTGCACTGATGATTATTTGTAAAGGAAAGAATGTAATATTAAATTTAGGAATGCCTTTTACCACAATAATGCTACGACAGTAATTTTTATTTCCATGAATATTTTAAAAAGCCACAAAGACCACTACGAGCTTAGTTACAGCTTAGCCATTTACATATTTGACACACTAAGACTACAAATGTCTATACGATTGGAAAAAAAGATAAAAGATATTAAACACTAAGGATAGCAGTGACATCAGAGTGAAAATGTGTGGGTGAAAATATTGAGAACAGTTGTATTGGCTCTATACAGCTCCAGAGAGGCTTATAATACATTATTACTATTTTTTATTTTTTTACATCTTGTGTATCACCACCTCATCAACGAAAATGAAGCCTAAAATCGCTGCACACAGTGCCAAAGAGGGAGGTAGGACAATTAAAACCCAACTCAGGTTAAGCAAGGGAGCTACGGTCGTACCCACAGGTGTAAAAGAGATTCCAAAAAAACAGATTAAGTGATTAGGAACCTTTCTCCTGTGTTTAATTAGTTCTGTTTATAAAGCCGTTGCAATGTTAGCATGTCTTCTCCCCCACGTTCTCTAGCTCTTCTAGGTAACTAATCTTTAGAAACGGACAGCAGAATAAGAAACCTTCCTTTCTTCTAGTCTGAACTTTGTATTATTATTTTATTTATCTGAGCACTGGCAGGGGCTTTGGTTAAAAGCAGTATTTGAAAACACAATCTAACTCAACACAAGAGCTTTGTAGGTCAATCAGCAACATACCTTAACAGCAGACAAGTACATATGCTCAAATTAGTAAGTTTGACTTCAGGAAATCTTGCAGGAACTGTGCTTCAAAGCTCAGTGGAAACATCTGCATGCGTTTTACCTGCCCGTCACCACCAGTTACTATGCCTACAACGCCATCATCTGTACTCCTCCGCACAGCTCAAATGTCATGGCTAAGGCAGGTAGCGTGAGTCACAAACTTCTCAATGTGCCCTGGCGGCTCAAATACAAAGCTACAGAGTAGCAGGACAGGCCAAGGGCAGGCAGACACCCATGCTCAGGCATCAGTGGCACTAGGTTCAGCTGCTCCTTTGGCCTTCTGAAGGTACATAGCCCTCCTCCAGCACTTAAGATTTGGTGGCTTAAACTCTGGCAGGCCCCCGAGATGCATTACTGCAAGAGAGTCACCCACTGAGAACTGGCCTGAACTTCAGTGTTGCTCTAGAGAATACACCACCTACTATCCTGCTCCCCAGTTGTTCAAATTCAGTGATACACCTAGAAAAGTACAGGATAGTCTTTACTTCAAAAGGCTCTGGTCTTGCTGGAAAAACATGTCCTGGCACTGTTCCCAAGTCCCGTAGCGTGAAGCTCTGCAGGACTCCTGGAGTTTGCCCCACAAAATTCAGAAGGGAAAAGTAGTCGTTCTGTAAAACGGTCAAGTAAAAAAAAAAAAATTGCTTCTTCAGCTTTCAAAATATGACATATATGAATCTAGCATTAAAGAAGTTGGATGCTTACACCATGTGCATTTGACCTAGTTTCCTCTTTTTTAATCCTGCAAATTCTAACTTAAGCTACTCATGAAATATTCATAAAATTCTTGCTGTTGCAGAACATCTTTGGCCTGTTGTTGAAGGAAATCATGCTTATGCTAGCACAATTGCTTGACAAGACTCAGAGTTACTAGTCTTTTGAGGACTAATAATAATTTATTATTAAAAAAGAACTTCTTATTCCAGAGGGCCAATGGGAAAAAAGGTAATGGCACAAGTTATACACTTCAGCCTTTTCCAGTGTCACTACTCGAAGAGAGGGCAATACTAACTGATACTCATAGACTTTTATGTGTATCAGCAGAAGACTTGTAATGTTAGCGTATTCCAGAATGTTTGCCTTCTTGGGAGACTGTCCTGCACAGCTCACTTCTTCCTCCTAAAGATGGTATCATCACATTAGCTTTGAAAATAAATACAAATACAGGTGGAGGTCTATTTCCAAAATGAAAACAAGTACCATGGGATGGAGCACCAAAAAAGAGAAACGTCATACTTTCAGGCACGCACAACCCATAGCTTGAATAAGCTCTTTGAAAAGACGTTTTCATAACCTGCACAAAAGCAGAGGGAAAAGGGGCAGGCATGAGGGATCAGGGATAGAAGGACCATGGAGTAAGACGGAGTAAACCTCCCTTCATGCAATTATCCACGTTTGGCTTGCTGCAGTTCTACCTATTGCTCTACAAGTTATGCAACAGCAACGCAGTAATCCTTCCCTGCGGCTGCTCTGAAAATGCCCGTTCTTCCCTGCCCCACAGCAGTTGTCCATGCCAGCTCCACTGGCGATGACGAGATCAAAAATGTCCTGAAGATGCAAGTCACGGATTTACAAGCCCTACCAGTATTCTGTCCCATTCTGCCCTGTTTTGGAACAGCCTCTTTACATTATTTACATAATGAGCAATTACAAAAAAACAGGAAATTATGCTGGGGGAGCACACCACTTGGTAGTGTACAGAGCAGTACCTGCAGATTTTCCTCACTGAAAACAGACTGCAGGGTTGGGCCTTTGTTGTCCGAGTGCTCACATATTTTGCCTTGTAACTGTGCATCTTGGTGGTACTCGCACTAGAGTGAGCAACATATATCAAATCTTAAAGATAGCATTGTGGATGGAGCTTATACGTATCAATAAAATCGGTTTAAGCACATCCAGTAACCCATCTCACACGTATTACCGTAAATGATAGCATTTTCATGCACTAGTTACTCCCACAGAGAACATGATAAGGCTTTCAGTACAAAAATCATAGCTCTTAGCATGTTTACACTTTATGCTGGACTATCAGCATGGCAAGCTTCCAGGACCATTTTTCTGCCCTGTTTTGGTAATCATAAAGGTCTATTAACCCTAACAGGACAGCCCCCTAAATTTAAAAAAAAAAAAAAAAAAAAAAACAGAAAAAAAGGTTTTCCAGTCTGGAGCTAAATTAACATTTTATAACATATATCATGATTTAATTCCACATTCTGATAACAGGCCATTGCATTCTATCTAGCTAAACTGCCATGCTTCTAGCTTCCCTTGTAGAAAACACACTACACCACGTACTGAAAGGAATTAAGGATTATAAATCCTCCACGTTTTCATTAGTCATGGTATTGGAAGAGACCAATTATGGTGACCATCCAAGAGCAGCTCCTTTATTTGACCTATTTGGTCTGTGAAGGGGAGTCCAAAGAAAATACAAAAATCATCATAGTCCTATCTAAACCATGGGAAGTATGCCTTCAGCTCACCAAGCAGTGCAACAGGAGAGGATACCAAGACTAGGCTGGAAAAAATTTGGGCCCTCGGGATACTTTAGATCAACTTATAAGTGCAACATGCTGCACCTATTCAACTATATGACAGTGACTTGTCCTCTTCTTTCTTATTATTGAAAAGAAATTGCCACAACACACTCAACTGCAGGATCCATGCTATCTTTTTTAATTAATTAATACTGGCTAAGCAGCATATATTTCCTGAAACTTTCCCATGTCAGGTATTTATTTCATTTCAGTTATTTGCAGCTTTCCTTCTTAGTTTTATATGCCTACCTATTACCTTGGATATCACCTCAGACCAGTTAACGCTGTTTGGATGAAAAAATGTGCTCCTTTTTCCCATCTGAAATAGAACGTACATATATAAGGAATGTCCTGAAAGAAGGGTGATTTCCCTAGGTCATGAGCCATTTCACACCCGTCTGGCCAAGTTACTGCCTGCCAAAGAAAGCTGATCTCATCTGATGTCAAAAGCCAGAACTGGCCCTTACAGTTAGTTGTGAGCCAAGTTTCAGCACTACAAACCTTTCACCCCACGATCAAAAGGGCGCTCAGTTTCATAGTTCCTCTTAATTTGCTTGCCATTCCCAAAGGGAGGAAGACTCCTGTGTTTGTCAGATCACACAGAGGGTGCAGTCCTACAGCAACCACAGCCAATATAAAATCCAGGCTGACATGGATTTAGAGGATCTAAATTCAGGTTTTCATTTCTGTTCCATTTTCCAACCCCCTTCCGCAATGGAGTGGGGCCCATTCAAGG